ATAGGGAAACCAAAAAATTCATTTGACTCACTTTATTGTGACATTTACTATGTTATGGTGGTCTGGAACTGAACCTCCAAGTATCTGAGGTATTCCTGGTAACAGCATCTTAAACTTTGAAAAGATCTGGTTAGCTTATATACTTTCATACTTAATGCCAGAACCTTTAACCAAAATGTTAAGCAGGTGGTTATATTTGAACACAGGCACCAACTTCTTTCCAGTGACATTCATCTATTTTATTGTTGCAGTTAACATTTTCAAAAACTATGCTTTCTATAGATATTCATATTTGAAGATACTTCTAATCCTTTCTCTCCCCCACATCTCTTGTTCCTCCTGTGCTGTGGTTCTAACTGTAGAGTTTAGTTTCAAATTTTCACTACCTTGGTCACTCCAAGTTATCACTCAACAACAAATGCTCAGACAGGCACCTGGCTGGCTCAGACAGTAGAGCAAATGACTCTTGATCTCAAGGTTGTGAGTTCAAGCCCCACATTGGGCTAAAGCTCACTTAACAACAACAACATCAATAAGAAGCAGCCCAGAACTGAACACCAAACTGAACATTGGTGTGAACCAATGCTAAGGATATGTTTCTCTCTCTTTGGATATCAGATAAGGGACACAGGGAGTTCCTTCCAGGTTAGAAGTTCCAATGCTATCTCACCAAAATTAGCTGTTATTGGTAATGTAGGTTTGAACTTCCCTCCAAACCCCTACCTTAAGCATTAACATTTTAAGATTTTTATTTTTTTTTGAGAGAAGAGGGCAGAGGGAGAGAGAGAATCTCAAGCAGACTTCATGCTCAGTGTGGAGCCCAACACCGGGCTTGATCTCATGACTGTGAGATGAGATCATAACCTGAGCCAATGTATCAAGAGTCAAATACTTACCGGACTGAGCCATCCAGTCATATATATTGCCATATATAATGTGTGGCTGATAAAAAAAAAAAAAATACTTAGAATACAAAATTTAAGTTACAGTTTTGTAGGGATGCCTCAATGGCTTAGGCAGTAGAGCATGTGACTCTTGATCTCAGGGTTATGAGTTTAAGCCCCATGCTGGGCATAGAACTTATTTAAACAAATGTATACACAAAAACACACAAAATAGCTTTTGAACTCTAGAGTAAATGATGGTCACTGCTATAACACACATTTATTCAAGAATGACCAATGTACCACTCAATCAGAACCACCTATACTTAAAGAAAAAAAATTCTAATTTGAATGATCTTATAGTGCTTGATAAAAATACAATTTCCCTATGTGTACTGATATGGAATAATCTCTAGGACTCAGATATTTAAAGGAAAGGAAGGCAGGTGCAGAATAAGGCCCAGTATGCAGCCATTTGTAAAAAAGCAAAGAGGTGTACACGTTCATGCCACATGCACAGACCATGTGTGGAAGGACATACAATGGATAACACTGACTGCCTCTGGGAAGGGGCAACACAAGAGGCAGACCTTTTAAGCCATATATTCCTTTACACCTTTAAAATTTTAAACGTGTGTGTAAACCATCCATTCAAGTAAATACCTACAAGAAAGCCATCTTAAAATGTACAGCCTTGGGGTGCCTGGTGGCTCAGTTGGTTAAGTGTCAGATTCTTGACTTCAGCTCAGGTCATGATCTCACAGTTCCTAGGTTTGCGCCCTACATTGGGTCTGCGCTGAGCAAGAAAACATGGAGCCTGCGTGGAATTCTCTCTCGGAGACAGGGGAGAGGGGAGAGGGGAGGGAGAGAGGGAGAGGGAGAGGGAGAGGGAGAGAGGAGAGGGAGAGGGAGAGA